TTGGATTATGTGTGTTAGTGTTTGTTCGGTGTATTGAAACTTTCGGTATGAAACAGACGCACCAAACGTACCGAAAAAAAAGTACACCAACAATTTGTGATATTACAGTACTCTTGTTGTTGGGTGTTGCCGGTTGAATGCTGTTCATGGCAGATATCCTATGCATAAATATGGGCTTGTATATTCTGATTGTCTGATTGCTGACAGATACGGACGCAGCGAAGCTCTCTCCTGCGCCCGCATGCGCCGAGATCCCACTGCTGTCAACGGATGACACTGCAGCCCAGTCGCCAGCGACGGCGGCAGCTGCTCCTGCTGCTGCTGCTTCGTCAGGAGATGGGAACAGCTCACAAGGCGGCAGGCCACCTCCATCACCTCCATCCTGCCTGCTCTCGGACATGGCCTGTCTCAGCTCGTATGAGATTGATGGCTTGCGACGGCTGCTGGTCGAGCTGAACGTTTCCACGACGATGGTGAGGGCGTGTCCCGAGGAGCTGGGTGATCCTGGGGAGCTCATGTCGACCGTGGAGGTAAGTTGTCGTGTGTGATGTGTGGGTAAAACCGAAGTTACCGAAAATAAATCTCCACCTAAATTTTCCGGTTTTACAGTAGCCTATCTTCAGGGACATACATAACTATTGGCGTAGATTTGCTTAATCGTTATGCCTTGTATTCTCTTGTCAAATGTACACCGAAGATTCTGTTGAACGAGTATGAAAGCCTGTATTCTCCTCTGCAATGTACAAGCATTTTCCTGTGCAATGTATGCTGTATATTCTGTTGAATGAGTATGAATTCTCCTGTGCAACGTGCGCTGTAGATTCTGTTGAACGAGTATGAAAGCCGGTTTCGCGAGGACAAGGCCACTGGACATTTTATGCTCATACCGGGAATACAATCTGAGGTATGGTGTGGTGAATTGCTGTGTAGTACTGCTGCTGCTGCTATTGCTGCATATAGTGCAGCTATTGCTGCTGCTGCTTCTGCTGTTGCTGCTGTTGCTCTCCTCTCCATCCCGACCATCTGCCTGTGGAATATTTGACAGCGGCAACATGTACATGTACATGTAGTAACAGGTATATGTTCATGGTGTTTCTTTCCTTCTGCGTGTGTAGAATCTGCGTGTGTCGCCCGCACCAATACCTGACAACATTGTGGAAATAGTTGCAGTTGAAACAGAGATTGTATGCAAGTCCTCAGCTGCTACTGCATCTCCAAGAAAGACAGCAGGTAAGCTACAAAGACAGGGGCGTCACAGGGCGGTTGGGAGTGGTACAACGGGGTGTCCCCCGAGAGAAAAAAATTCAGATTTTTCGGCCAACAGGGCACGTTTTAGCGCTCTACAGCCACAAAGGAGGGTTCTCCTAGCACTTATCAGACAACCCCACTCGTACTCCAGCTCCAAAAATACTTCTCATAGATTTTTTGGCCGTACTTCGTAGGTAGCCAAAGCAAAAAGGAAGCCATTGCCCTCGAAAAAATCGCAAAATCCAAAGTACAAGCGTGCTGCTTGCTGCACGTTCTAGCGCCAGCCGCTGTGCAAAAACGTATGTTATTACCACAATGACGATGATATTGCTTTCACAACAATGACCACAACCTAACTGGGTTATCAGTAGGAGCAGTGACACAGCCTTACTGCTCCAAGTAGGATTTAGAAGAGAGTGAAGGGAGAGCAGCCCGGGCTGGTCTAAGCAAGGAAGTAATCGGCATCAGAGGTGAGAACGCAGCATCGCAGATTGTCTCGAATTGCGCATCACACCAGCGGCAAAATTGCTCCTGTGCATGCAAGTGGATTTCCTTGCACTTCTCAGTTTGGGAAATGCTCGATTATGATAATTCTGCGTGCGAGTGCACTAGCCCTGAACATACATGTAGGTGACCCGTTTGTGGTGTCTCATAGCCTACCTCACGACCCTCTGCTTTCTTTCTGCATCACTTGTATCTTGCAGGTATATCATCTCGTGACGACCACATTGAAGTCTGAATTTGAAGTGCGAAGATGCTTCAGCAACCACATCGTACTTTTCCATTGCTTTCATTGTGCTTCTACTGTGCATGTGTGTAACTTGTGGGGTATACATGTGATGACATTGTATGCTGGCGACACGGTCAGATTTTGTCCATGCGTGTAACGTACACCTGCATGTTATGCATCGAAAAGGATCTGCCACTTGCAATCCTGGGACAAGTATCAGGTCAGCTTTGTTTTGTGTGGGCTGCACCAGATTGCTGTTCACTTTTCTATCTGTTGGATATGTGACTTTCTGCAAGTCTCTGGTGTATGGTGGCCACTTCTTTGCTTGTCACTTTGTATGATATTACATTCTGTATTCGCTGCTTCCATGGCGTGGTCTCTGCAAACTGCAATCCTTGGGCAAATATCATGTTTGCTATGTTGTGCTTTGGCCGTCAGCTTGTCTACACGTTGTAGTTGAATTATTTTGTTCCACAACTGACTTCCTGAAGTACGGTGGCCACTGCTGTGCATGTCATTTTACATGAAGAATTTCCTGTTTGTGTCGTGTGCATGTGCGTATGTGTGCCGTGTGCATCCGCGCGTTTGTGTATCTGTGTGCGGGGTAAGCGAGGTCGAGAGGGCTGGTATGTATCAGTGTGTTATCGTACTCTCATGCCTACATACAGTACATCGCGCGCGTGTTCATCATGTTTACCTTCGGGGTTGGGGTGGGGAGGGAACGGAAGAAGAACTGAAATTATCCATAGAAAAATCGCTCTGTGAGCGCTTCTGAAAAACCTTTACTGGCGCTGCCCCGTCGTAAAAGTAAGAAATTAAAACTGGCCCATTAGAGAGGTTAAGATGCACGTTATTTCTGGATTGACGCGCAATTTCACGTCAAATTTGGCGTAAAACTCCAAATTTCGACGTGAGCAGCAGGTCGCTCGCATTGATTTTTCGACGTGCGAGCAAATAACGCGAGCTGAACTTTCGCGTCACGTCAGAAATAACGTTCATCTTAACCTCTCTATTGTCCCCCAAATGTGAACTGATCCACCTAAATCGCGAATGACGGGACCCGAAGGCACCAGTAGCACGAGGTCGGGAGGGCACAGGATCACAGCACATCATAGGGTAACACCATCACTAGTGCATGGTATCAGTGGCAGTGTAACTTTGCTAGTCACATAGTTACTTCCATCGGATATCCAACATGGGAGTTCATCGACGACCATGGCCTGTGGACCAGCGTCCCCAGCTGCATCCACAGGTAGGAACCTGATTGATTGATTTTATTTGAATTTGCGAGACCAAACGAGCAGCAGGAGTGCTCAATAACAGGGTAGCGAATGGTTGAGTTGTGCTATGTGACAATGTAGTGTGTGCGGAGGCCCAATACGATGTAAGGGGATGGGAGGAGAGAAGGCCAGCGGAGAGTCAAACTCAGAAGAGGGAGGAGAGAATAACTGAAGTACACATTTACTGTGCGAATTCAAATAAACCAGACACACAGCAAAACGAGTACACAGCTCACGAGAATAAAGAGGACTGGAGCACAGAATTGAACTGCTGAAGTACACAGCTGACGAGAATAAAGACAGGAGCACAGAAATGAACGGGAGGCAGTCTAGGCAGAGCTGGTTGTGGGTCAAGTCGGAGCCATATGCTGACGATCCATATATCAAATCCGGCATGATAACAGATAGGAAGTACTTGCTTCGACTAGCTAGAGTGAGGCAGCGTCGCGCCCGCCACAGACTACCGATCTTCCTAGCAGTGCGTGAGATGCACCGGTCAACTTGCGGTTGCCAGGCCATTTGTTCATTGATTAAGACGATGAGGTATTTCGCGCTGGTGGTGTGCGGAAGGACATCATTTCGACAGCGTACAACCACGTCCGGCTGCTGCCCACTGCTGCTGGTAAAAACCAATACATTGCTCTTCTTTGCATTTCATACAAGACCACGGAGCGTCCAGCCTACTTGAGAGGGAGGTAACCGCCAAGCTGAGCGCATCAGACACCTCTTGCGCTGTCCGTCTTGCACATGTCAGGGCGATGTCATCCGCAAACTGCAGTGATGATGCGGCGCAGATTCCGAGGGGATATCTCTGGTGTATGGAGAACAGCATGGGTCCTAGTACAGAGCCCTGCGGCACACCACAAGTGCATCCCCGTGCTACTGCTGCGTTCGGGTCACGTCATTCGCGATTTACGTGGATCAGTTCACATTTGGGGGTACAATGAGCCACGGTTTTAATTTCTTACTTTTACGACGGGGCAGCGCCAGTAAAGGTTTTTCTGAACCGCTCACGTTCACAGAGCGGTTCAAGTAATATGGATAATGTAAATAATACTCAATATGCTACCTGTGGTGTGGTGCAAGCTCAGCACTGAGCTAAATCAAACAATGCTACCTACAGCCTACACAGCCTCTGATGGCCCTCTATACAGTGCTGCGATGGCAGAACTTCTGAAGTTCACATCACCTTTCTTCCTCCAGCTATGCCCGTGACACCCTTTGTGAATCAAACACTAGTGGCAGGCCACGCGAAAATGAGAATGCGCGCAGCCAAGATTCGGCCATCATCTCCTTCATCCATTATCCCGGCGGTCACTCCGCCCGTTCAATATCCAACACCAGTCCCCAAGAAAGAATAAGGCACGAGATTTCAAGTTCAAGGGCAAAGCTAAAGGCTAAAGCCAATGAATGGCACTGATTTTTGGAATTGTCGAGTAGAACGAAAAATAATCGAAGGCGATCATGACGGTCAGATTCGACACACACGTGACACAGTTTGGGTCGCGCTCGCGCGTGTGTCGCGCTTCGCATTTGCTGCAGCTCGAGCGCGCCCATGATGAGTCTCGCGCTTGCGACAGGCTAGCCAAAAGTAACACGTTTAATAGTTGTCTTTTTTTACGAATTCTGTGACGTCATGTTTTGGAAGAATTATGTCCCAACAGTCATTGTATAGGGCTTGAAAGTGATGACGTCAAAAACGGCCAGGGAGTAGTAAGTTGACATCAGATTTCTATTTTGGATCCACTAAGGTGTGACTTTGCTATTGCCTCAGTATGTGGGTGCATAGCAACCCACTCATGTCGTATGCAGGGGTGACTTTTACTTCGCCACCAGTTGTAACCCCGCCCCCAGTAGCCAAATCAGTCAGTTTCACTGGTTACATCACCTTGCTGTGAGTAAGACGGCTTGAAATGTGCTTAAATTAAATAAATTTCACGGTTCGCGTGAGACGGCTGAAAGCCGAGTTTTCCGCATCCACCGTGGGAACGCCACCACCCTCTAGGATCAAAGGCGCAGATGCAGCGCCTAAACGGTGGGAGGTGAGTAGATCAGACCCACCACCAAGTGGTCAAAGACCGAAATCCCATTAGCTGCATCCATGTTACCCTCGTGCCAGGCCACGAGTTCCCAATTAACTGTGGGTGGCAGCACGGCTGGAAAAATTCCTTCCGCTGCCAAGCAGGACTTGAACCTGGTACCCTCTGTTTCTCAATCATGGTCTTAGACCATCCCACTATGCCTGCTTGGATCCATACAAAAACTGGATCCAAGTGGATCCAATTTTTGAATTTTTGAAATTGTTGCTATGCTGTGACGTAGCACTTTCAAGCCCTATTATTATGAATGGTCCCGGACACCTCAACACCACCAACATGCATCAGATACACGGCATGTAGTCAAATGAGCACGAAGGAGCGAACAAATCAAAAGAGCAGAGAAATCAGCAGTGAATGAATGAAGTAGTGTTGGGCGAGAGTAGTACTGATCAGCACTACTATACATGTTATCACAGTTCGTTGTCCAGATCCAAGCTGTGTACATCAACCCAGTGAATGTTAGAGACGGGACTACATGATGTATTTACCTACTTTTCAGTATGGTGTGTGATGGTTGAGATGTCCGTATTGACTACATACCTTGTGTGTTGTACAGTGTAAACCTTGATCGATCTCGACCTGGAGTAGGTCCAGTGTGACTACGACCATGAGCAACGTGTGTGTAAACAAAACCAACCTGGACACCAGTATAGCAGCAGTCAACGGAGAACAGGGACTGACTAAGGGATTGCATATCATTCACCATCCACATCACACCATCGCCTGCGGGGACCATGCTGAGAACGCATTGCACGGAGCTGTCCAAACATACCAGACTTTGACATACACTTGTCATACATCCGTGCTAAGTGTCCAAGCTAGCCTAATCCATTCTCCCTGATGATGCCTGCTACTTTGTAGCAATCTATGTGGTGTGTGTTGGCAGGTATCAGGGTAGTGGAGATGACTTGATGGTGGCACTGCTGCTCTTGCCGTGACTAATGATCATACATGTACCGTAGATACTGGAAATGTAACAGATGTCTTCCCAGTACAACTCTCCACTATATACACTGGAGAGTAGTGAACACTAAATGTGATGTGCACTTGACATCCACAACAAACAGATCATGAGTACAAAGATAGAGGAAACAAACAACGTTCTTCTCTCTGAAACTGAGTGGGTTGGAAATCACACCCTGCACTTCTGCTGGAAGACCCACAACTTTCTCCATACAGTTTATGCAACAATCTACACGCGCGCGCGCACACACACACACACGCACACGCACACACACACCATGTACCATGTACCATATATACGCCCGGCGCAAGAGAAACACGCAAATCTGCAAATACACTGATGTGCACCCACAGTTCTCTTATAGCAACGATAGCGAACAAGATTTGAATGAGACAGATTAAGACTTGCGCCAGATAACTGTCTTAGCCACACAACTGGCGAAGCCATGTGAATGGACCACCAATCAGTGCACACACACACACACACACACACACACACACACACACACACACACACACACACACACACGCACACACACACACACACACACACACACACACACACACACACACACACACATTGGACCATTGGACGCCCATCGCCGGAGGCGATGATATCGATGCTACAGCAGAAGCCGTAGCAGCTCGTGCTGGGATTGTACCATTCAACAGCTTGCAAGGCTGAAGAATTGACCGCCACTATTCAGCCTGGTCTACACCACACAGCTATGAAGTGGCTATTTTCTGGCCATTGAATCCCTACTTTTTGGTCTTTTGGGGTTTTTTTCACACACACACACACACACACACACACACTTGTACTTACTTGTACTTGTACTTGTTGCACACTGCCAAAACCGGTCACGTGGGTCTCCCCGGGAGAGGGGAGAGAGACTCAAAAGGAATCTTGGAAAGATGACTCAATTGGCTATTGAACCGCCCAACGGCCGACACCCCCTGAAATCCCCAAAACTCTGGGTGGACTTGAAAATGATCCCACTTATGGGCTCACCACACCTCAGTAAGTGGGTGAGGACAAGGTGCAGAAAAAGGATTGACGGCATCAGGGTATCCGTCCTGGGATCCAACTGCAGTTACCCCTGCCCCCTGCCCCCAGTGAAGGTAATACGTGCTACTACACACACACACACACACACACACACACACACACACACACACA